TGTATTTGATATTATAATGATAAATTATTCTTGATATTGATAAAGTTAATTGTTTGAAAATGATTATTTTTAACAATACTTCATAAAATTACAAACATGATATCCTCAATAATAACATGTCTTTTTTCCATTCCTGAAGAATTGTTGAAACAAGGGCTTTATTTTTTTCTTTATTTAAAGTGAACAAAATAATGTATTTATTAATTTTGCTCAAATATTTTTTTTTTTTTTGAGTTTATAAGGTAAAAATTTTTAATTTCTAAATAAGAATTATTAATTTAGTAAATTTATATAATATGTAGAAAAAGCTTGATTAGCCACAGATCTGTGATGATAAATAAGAAAATTGAAAATAATAATTATTATTTTATTTCTTTGCTATCATTTGAGATTAGCTGATGATCTATTTATAGCAATTATCAAAGTTATTAATCTAATATTTATTTTCATAATTATAATTTTTTTTAAGATTTTTGTTAGAAACTATAATTTATTTTAAGATATATATAAAACGAATATATAGAAAAATCATTTTTAGCCCTTGAATATACTATACCATCATTAGAATTTTATATTGAATCAAAACTCTCAACAGTTCCTGAATCAGCATCAAATAGCAAAAAGTACCAATGTTAATTAACTTATATTTATAGAAATCCCACTATTTTATCAATTTTGGTGATTTTGAAATTCATTTCAGAATTTTCAAATAGTTCTTATTTTAATAATAGTTGATCTTTTTTCTTATCAAATGTTTAGCCAAAGCTTGTTTTTAAACTACCAGTAAAAATAATATCATTTTATCGATTTCTTTTTTGATATTCTTAATTAAAATATTAACATTCACTGAATATGTTAAATACATAACCATCAATGACAGAGCTTATCAACCATTTTATTTAGTACTTGATGAAGATAATTAAAGGTATTTCATTTTACTTTTGGTCCTTTTTTGTATTTTTTATTCTAAAGTTCTTAAGTTTGCTTTTTAGTCTTATTTATTTTAAATTGTTTTCAATTAATTTGTTTAATTTTGTATAAATGATGATTAATTAGAAGTCGCATTTTGGCTGCTTTCCAATTACCAAGAAAATCTTATTTGAAAAACGGTTTACAAAAAACAATACAATCTATCTAAGTTAAAAAAACAAAAAACAATATTAATATTATATGTAAAGTATTTAACAACTAAAAGTTAATAATATATAATAAATAACTAAGCCTTAGAATGTATATTAACTTTTAATTTAATCAAAATATGAGAGGAATAATAGAATAAATAAAAAAATTTGAATTAGTAATTCTAGATAATAAATCAAGAGAGTAGGATTTATAAAATTAATTTCATTTAATGTTATGCTAAATTAAATTGATAATATTGTTCCTAATATATAAAAATAAATTTATTAAATTTTTCTTAATTATTTTAAATGATCAAAAGTAGAATTATTTATTTAAACAATTCATCACTTAAGATAGAATAAACATTCCTAAATTTATTTTAAATTATTCAAATTTTTTATTCAAAAGTTAAATAAGACCTTATCACTCTATTTATTTATTAATTGTGAGAATTGTTTTTGCTACTTTAATCAGAAGTTGTGAAAATTTTTTTATAATTTATAGACTTAGATTTGAAAATTAGATAGAAAATTCTGTAACATATAATTATATAATCTTAAAATGAAATACATTTATTATGGTTGTTCCTAAACAAAATTTAATAATTTAAGTTAAGATATCTTATTTTTGATTAATTAATCTGCTTCAATCATAAATAAAGTCTCAAATATAAGAGAAATCTATTAAATTATAAATTACATTTTTTTAATTCAACATAGTCTTAATTAAAGTTTATTGAAAAGACTCTGAAATTTATTGTCATCAAAAAGCGCCTATTTGGGTCATTCTAAGAAAACTATTTTCTTAAATACTATTTGAATATAATTTTTTGGAACAAATTAAGATAAATATTTTAATTCATGATTGAATGATATTTAGCTTTTCTATTCCTTGTAAAAAAACCTCTCTGCCAAAATTATTTTAATTAAATTATGTAATATCTATTTCATTAACATTTTTAAAAATATTGCTAGTTTCATTCTTATTATCACAATTATAATATCAACAAATCATAGAGCAATTAAAAATTTATTAAAAATTATTCTTAAGACAAAATATTATAACATAATAACAGATAAACTAATTGTTATATTTGCCTTAAAAATAATTAATGATCTAAAGTTTATATAAAATAAAAATTATAATTATGCCAACTCAATATAAATAATTATTAAAAACTTGATTATAACTTAAATAAATAACAAATAAAGGATTCAATATGATAATCACAATGTTAAGATTATTTATTATATTTAAGAAATTATAACTATCAGTTTATGTAGAGATCGTATCCTCATAATACTTTAGATGAAAACTACAATATTAATAAAGATACTATATCTATAAATATAGACAATCAATAAGTCTTAAATGAATATTATAATCCTTGAAGTAATAATCCATTAGGTAAGTCATTATTATGTGAATATAATTAATCAAACATTAACTATTAACAGCTAAAAACTTAGTATATAGTGCTAACCATACTGATGATTAATTAAATATTACACTATCAAGTAATACAGATGAAGATTATTAGAATGAATAATATTTATTTAGAAATGTGCACTTGTGATAATGATTAATTCAATAGTTGCTAATCATGTTATAATGACTAACAAATAAATAACAATATTTGCCCCTCTTGTTGAAACCGAGAATTTTTATTGATTCCTAAAGGTTGTGTTGCTGAATGTTAAGTTGGTTATAGTTATGATTTAGATTATGTATGTTATTTGGATAATAGTAAATTAATTCAAGGATTGAAGCTTAGTAACTCAATAATCAACAATAGAATTAATATTAAGATTTGCAATGATGAATAATTTAAATGAATACCTTATTGGTTTAAATTGAAAACTCTAATGTTGCAAATATATATAATTTTATAATAATTCCTTAATCTAATAGCAAAGTTATTATATAAATGTTCTAATCAATTAAATTAGAATAGAGGTGTAAGCATCAATTAATTTAAATAAGTAAAAATTAATTAACAAATTTCAATTTAACATGTGAAGATATTCAACAGCATTTCATTTCAATTAGAATATATAATTTATACAGAAGGTTGCTCATAATGTATGAATGAGGAAATTTGTAAGAATTGCAATTCAATAAGATATAATTTTGAAGGTAGGGGGATTAAAATTTGTCCAAATTATACAACAACAGATAGAACTTGTTATAATTTTAATTCTAGTTTATATAGCTATAATAATTTGAAAATATAGTATGTATTATAAGAATTTTATGATCTTTCAAAAACAAATAATCGTATAAAAGAACTTTTTGAACTTGATTCATCAACAAGTACTTTGGATAAACATAATTTTTAGGAGGGATAAGACATATCTACCAAATAAAAGGGAGATCCTTTTGTTTTGGGTAAATGCTCGATTTAAATTTAAACTTAAGTTATCTAATTATAGATAAATTATTATAGATTTGAACTTTTGTAAGGTGATTACTATAAAAATAACAATTCATTTTCATTCCTAAATTGATAATATGGATAAAAAAGCAATTAGTATGGATGATTAAAATTGGGGAACCGAAACTTTTATTAATTAATCAATATTTTTAGAATAATAGAATAATAATGATTTGAATATTTTTTTTGATATAGATTTATTAAAATATCAAAAATTAATTAGAATCTAAGTAATATTTTCTCTTTTATATTAGAAAGGATATTAATATTCTTTTGCACAAATATATCTAAGAGTTTTAAATATCAAAAAAGATAATTGATTTTATTAATCTATTAATTGATTTAAACTTTTTGAGATAGGATTTTCTTTTACTTGGGAACATTTTATAAATTCAATAAATATTTCCTTAATAGCTTTATGCCAATAAGATCAAGAGTTAAGTTTCTGTTGAAAATAGATCTATGCAATTATACAAATTGTATTTTTGAAACCTTAATACAAGGAGCAAAGATTGATAACATTAAAACTTTTCTTTGATTTCGAAGCTAATCTTTAGTGGAATTTTTATAAACTACTTGATTCAAAGTTAGAAATTATTTTTAAAATTAACTGCTATATTATGTAAAATGATATTATGAACTAAGTAAATATGAAATAATTGCTAACGAGACTCAGATATATTGAAATTTACCATTACATTGCAATTTCTCTTTATTCTGAAAGAATTAAAAATTCATTCTTTTCTTAATTAATCTGAATGAACTCAAGCAAAAAATTTGAAAAAGACAATCATTTCTAAGCAAAAAGTAGAATGAAAACTCAATATTTATGTAGAATATGCTGCGTATCTATTTATTTAAATCTTAGATTGATATTGAAGTAAAGCTTAAGAGAAATAAATAATTGTAATTTCATTAATTTTACTCTAAAATTGCACATTAACACACAAAAATAATCAACTTAATATTTATTATGAAGTCAAATATAGAGAGAATATTAAGGAATAAAATAAGAATTATAGTGTTTATATAAAAATTAAAAAGAATTATTAATCATGTATTTATATATTAAGGAAGTTAAAAAGATTTGATTATATTTTATATATTTAATTTAAAGATCGCGACTTCTAAAATTTGTCATTAAGTATTATATTATATTTATGTAAGCAAGCACTTTAATGGTACGATAAAGCATTAATTATCAATTAATTAGAACAAATGTAATAACAAAGGAGTTTCTAAAATTAATATATTAGTAGAGTGCTCTAATAAAAAGAAAAACTTTTATGAGAGAATGTTTTAATCTCATAAGCAGATTGTTTAAAAGCCCTAAGAGAAAAATTTTAAGAAATCTTCAATTAATTATATAAGTATTTCTATATTTAGTATTAATAGCTCAATTTTTGAATTACATGGATTATCCAGGTAATTTTTAATTATACTAAAACAATACAAATTAAATCCTTTTTCTTTTTAGTTCATTTATTCAGAGGCCAATATTATATTTAAAGTTTATTTGGAAAAAATACAAACTCAATATTGGTCGTTTATGGTGAACTTCAATGAGAAAAGGACTTAATTTCTAATGTTTTAGTATCCCAATGAGTTTATTTCTTGTTTAGCTTATGATTATATTTGCTTTATTTTTATTCGTTCTTCAAACATCCTTGATTATTTTAGTATTCAATAGTTATATTTTATTATAGTCGATTAACAATAATAAAATATCAATTTTTAGACATATAGAAATTTGTGAATGATAATTATTATTTTAATTTCTTTATTATATGATTTAATTGTGGATTAATTGGTATTTTCTATTATTCTATATTTTTTGAATTCTTTTTCTTATTGAGTTTTTAAGAGATCGTGTTTAATTATAAATACATTAGAAAATTAAAGTGATAAAAAAATACATATCAATTTATTTTATATTTTTTTTAATTATTGTTAAATATTATAAATAATCCATCTAAGCTCATCATTCGATAAATTTACCTTTGAGTTTGAGGAGGATAAAACTTTGATGAGCTGTTACAATTGACTATTTGATATTTTTAGGAATTAAGATTTCATTGGTGAAATAATTGTATGAAGATGAGAAAATGATCTAAAATAAGATAAATAAATTTAATTTAGTTGTTAGAGAAAGTGAACTACATTTGAAAATCGCAAAATAGAACATAGATATTTAAATTTAGATTGTAAATGATTAAAATTTAAAATAATCTATTTCTCTTTATTATTAATGAAAAAATTAGATTGTGCAATCATACATTAATTTGTAAACATTAAAGAAGTGAAAGATAAAAAAATTTATATAATCTTAGTGTGAGTATATAGAATTATGTATAATTTAATAAAATTATTTATATTATTGAAAATTAAAACATAATAGCATATAATTTAATTCTATTGAGCACATAATTTAAAAAACAATTGATATCAAATCAAATATAATAAATGAATAAATCTTCTGCTGTTAATAATAAATATAACTAATAACAATTAGTTAAAATTTAGCAAGAATAGCAACTATAAGAATAAGCATAGATTCAATATTATATTTATGAAGACTTACAGAACATAATAAATTTAATATAATAAAGAGATGCTGTTATTGAGTATTTTAAGAATGATTGTGCTCATGAAATGGTTACCTTGTGTAATAATAAATTAATATTGTAATTAAATATATCAAGTTCAATTCATTATGATTAAACGTAGTAATACAGAAAGCAACCTGAATTGCTTAAAATTTTAAAGAAGGAAAGAGAAAATGCTTATAAAATACTGGAAAAGTTTATTGGAAATAATGATTAAAAAATAAATTCAAATGGTAAGTAAAAAAATAATGGATCAGTACTAAACGACTTATAATAGTACAGAAACAATTATAAAGATTAAAAATTTGAATTGAATTAATTTAAATAATAACAGACTAATTTAGTACCCAAATTTCATGAAGGAGTCTTATCAACAATAATTTCTTCAATTTAATCTGTAGATTCACAAGTTGATTAAGTAAAGAAAACGAAATACTACAAGATTCCTCATTTTGAAGATATTTAAGAAAAAGCAATGTATTTCATTTATAATATCTTAGAAAGTATTATAAAACAACTTAATAAAAATTAAAAATTAATTTTCCTAAACTTTTATCTTAAGACAATTAAATGTCATAATAAGATAATTAAAAGTTCAATCAGAGTAATGTAATTAATATTGCCCAAAAAAATAGTGAAATTTAAGGCAAAGAATAAACTTAATATAATAATGAAGGATAACCTAATCTTGAGATTTAATAGAAAAATTAATTTTGTTTGAAAGACAGACTAATAGAATTTATTAATTACCTAAGATATAAAAAAGTTGAAATTCCAAAACCTTAATAAAATAATAAAGCTGAATAATAGGATTTCCAAATAACAAAATTATTTCATTAGTTATATCCTAAAAAGGATTGGAAAATTAAGGATGATATATTGCTCGAACTTACAAATTTACATTATTATTTTTATTTATTTATAGAAGTTTGTAATTTAGCCAAGCAGTTTGAGTTTTAAAAAAAGAAGGATATAGAATTATTTAATATTCTGAGGGATACTCAAGAAAAATAAAATAACATTTCTATCGATTATATCCTTAAATATTTGTTTAATAATAAAGATTAAGAAGACATTAACAGTTATCAAAATTACAAATTACAAATAGAGAAAAATGTTAATTCAACCGATAAGGCAAACCAAAAGTAAAATTTAGAATAAGATCTTATAATCAAATTGTATGCAAAGTTTTCTCCTATATGGATGAAAAATAAGCATAATTGAGCCACATGAGCATATAATAATTATATAAATAGATAATACAACAAATAAAAGTTTCATCAAAAAAGATTTTTGATTTAATTTCAATAGTGTCATTTCTTTTTTTAGTTTTATTTCTTGATGTGATTTATATTTTAATTAGATTTTAATTGGGTTACCTACGGCTGAATTAGTTTCCCTCGAAGACTTAAAGACTTGAATCTTTTTTATTAATACTAATTTCGATTTAGCTGACAGCTCCAATCTTTTATAATTCATATAATTCATTCTTATCAATATACATTTAATTTGTTATTTCATAAATCAAAATTAGTTTCAAAAGAGAATTAACTTAACGATTTATGAATTTTATTAAGTAGATATGATTCATTGTAAAAAAGTAATCAAAATTATAATATAATATGTATCATAAAATTATTATACTCTTTCAAGATTATGTGGATGATAATTATTAGATTAAAAGAATTCTTTAAAGTAAAATTTATATGATTAAACTTCTGAGTATTCAGTACAATTTATTATAACATAGAGACCAATAAAGTAATAAAGTAATATCGAGAATTAGATTAAACTATAATGGAAGAGTATTTAAATTTATAAATAGAAACATAATAAGATAAAATAAGCTTTTGATTATTTAAATAAATAGTACTTTGAACATGTCTAAGGTATTATTTTAACAAAATAAATTGTAATTAAAAACTTAAAGGATTCAAAAATCTGATCAACTTCATTATGAATTCACAATATTGTCAATCAGAAATAGAATAAAATTACTGTGATTTATAAAGGATTCATTCATCCCAAATTTTAAATCAATGAGATCTAAATATGCAAAAAAAAATGAGCCAAATATCTATTAAATTTTTTGATTTCTATTTAATTCTACTATATCTTAAATAAAAAGATTTGAAAAATGATCATAATGTATTTGTTGAATAGTAATTATATTTGATTCTTAATTGATTTAGAAAGATTGAAGGTAACTACTCACTTTATTTCATACTTCTAGTTGCTAATGTATTTTGATCCCATAAACAGAGGTATGATAAGATTTATATTGTTTATCTTTTTGGTTTCTACAAAGCATGTAGCAGTGAAATATCTTATTTATAGTTTGTTTTTTATTCATTTCTGTTTACCATTTTAAAACAAGTTCTATGATTCTAATTTATTTCTATTTCTTATAGAAAAATTTATTGATTATTCTTTTCTTTTTTATGATATAATTTATTTATACTATATTTTTACAATAATTAATAAAATTTTTCTGATTATTTGCATTTATTTTCAATAATCTAAATGAGTCATTTAAAAAAAAACAATAATTAATTAGTTAAATAATTATTATATTTATAATCAATACCTCTTACAATTTGATTGCCATTTTTCTTAATTCATATTTCTTTAAAGATTTGAATTGTGTAAATTCTTTTTTTTATTTTATTATTTATCTTTATCCTTTTCTTCGCTTATGTTCTCATGCATTAAATTCTTTAATATTTTTTAACAGCTTGAATATTCTGCAAATTAGGAAAACTATTCTAATTTTTTTTACAATTTTTTAATAAATCTTGTATTTAAAGGTTTTATTTCTTCAACAATATAATCCATTTCAACTTTTTATTCATATTTAATTAGCCAATCTATTTCATGATCAAATATATAGCCTTAAGATTTATAATTTTCCAAATCTCTAATCTACATCTCTGTATTATCAATCATTTCATCTAAGGTTATGTTTAGAAGGCTTTTTAACTTAATAAAGTTGTTTTTCAATTCCCCAAGTTCTATGCAATCTTTATAACAAATAATATCTCGAAATTCCCTTTTCTTTTCATAAATGTCTTATATTTGCACCATTGCTTTTTATAATCCAAGAGTTTTAGAATTTGTCTCTAAATTGTCTATACATTTAGAACATAAGAGTCTTTCGCTGTGTTTTAAATTTGAATCAAGTACAACTAACATTATAGGCTCTTAATGAGATGATTGAGCACATTTATAATTAGTATCTTATTGTGAATGCTAATTCTAATCTTTAACTTGATCTTCTTGAATTAAAATAAATTCAGTTTTTTCTAATCGTATATTACTTTACTTTTTCTTATTTAATTTTTCACTATTTGTTATTTGAAATTAATTATCCTCATTTTGCATTTATAATTGTTATTTTAATGAAGGAATAGAGGATCTTCCTTTAAGCATTTGAAAATCAATTTATTATGCTCCAAATCGTGCTGTATCTGGATGTGTATTCATAAAGAATAAAAATAATAATAAATTTTTGATAGAATATTAAATATATAAATAATTCATATTTAAATTTTAGTGAATTATACGTGCAAATAAATAATATTTTATTATTAATTTTTTAATGATCATCCTATATTCTCAAATTCTGCAATAAATAATAAATGTAATACCTGCATTAAGCATTTTTTTTGATCTACGAGTTAATACAAAGATGCGAATCCCTCACAACATTAAAAGATAATCTGTAATTATGGTTTCTTTGATTATTAGAATCAGCAAATAGGATAGCTAAACTCTTGTTAATTTTGTTTTTTTATTCTTATATTTAAATATATAATATTATGCGTTTTTATAAATTAATTAGTACTTCAGTTCTAAATCAACCTTTTTTCATCTCGTTTGAAATTATATATTGGGCTAGTCATTAATATTGATAATTACTTACTTTCTGAAAAAACTTGTATATCTGTTATAATTTTGTTGATCTTGCTGTATAATGTAACTCATGTGCTGCTAGCTAATTTATTATTATTTTTAATTTTATCTATATCATCTTAATCATAAATTTATCCTTGTAGTAAATATAACAATACTAGTAATAATTGTATGGTTTGTACCTCAACATATTTGATGAATACTATAATCCCTAATAATACATGTGAATGCCCATAAAATTCTATTAAAGTATGATAGATTAATTTAAATTAACTGTTTTATAAATAATTTATATTGATATTATTAAAACTAATAATTCCACAATTGTCACCTTTGGAATGTTAATTTTATTATATTTGATATATTTAACCATGTGATACATGTTCTGGAAATCAACACTTAGCTTAACATGTACAGATACACTATTAATTATTAATTCTTATTTTTAATGTTTTTGCAGTTTAGTTGAGATATATGACAGTGGTTTAAATTATATTCCTTGTTATACCTATTTATAATACTTTTTGTAATTTTTATAATTTTATAGATCGTAATAATCAATAAAATAATAAAATTTAAGAATCTTAATGAGAGTATGATACTCATCATGATACTTGTATTGATTCAAATCATATTGTATCTGCAAGAACTAATTTTATTCAAATACTATTATGCTTAATTTACATACCTTTGTTAAAAAAGTAACATTGATTCTATAGCAGAATATTCATAATCAAAAATAATAAATTTGCTAATTCTTTTTAACAATTTTTCTATTAAAATCAAATTTTATGAAGATGACCTTAATTGTGTATAAATGTATATTTCCATTTAAACATATTAAATCTAATGAGATTAGTGTTTACATGCATTGATAAAAATTTAAAAAACTAACTTAAAAAGGATAAAGTCAGCAAAACAATATTGTTATTTATTATGGCTTTAATGGTTGTAGGAACAATTTTTGTTTGGTGATTTAGAAATAACTTAATTTATTAGATATAATTATGTTTAATCAAGCCATTCAATTTAAATGTTATCATATTGTTTATATAAATATATCAACAGGAATTATTAACTTTTAATTTATTTATTAAGGAAGTTAAAAAGACTTGATTATATTTTATATATTTAATTTAAAGTTTAAGACCTCTAAAGTTAGCTATGGTATTTCTAAAAATGAAATTTTAATATTGTACTTTTATAGTGAGAAATGAGTTTTTTGGAAGAGTGTTTGAAGCCTTTTGAGCAGATGTTTAAAAGCTTACAGAATAAAATGATAGAAAATCATCAATTATTTATACAAGTATTATATATTTAGGATAAATAGCACAATTTTTAAATTACATGTATTAATTTTAATTATACTATTTTGTGCATTTTCTTAGAGACTTATTTTATATTTAGAGTATTTTAGAAAAAACTGGAACTCAATATCGATCGCTGCTGGTAAAACTAAATAAGAAAAGGAATTAATTTTTAATGTTCTAGTATACCAAATTTTTATTCTTTGTTCTAACTTATGATTATATTAGCTTTATTTTTGTTCATTATTCTATGATTTCCTTAGCATTCAATATCTATATTTTATCTATTGAAAATAATGTAATTAATTTCTGATTTGCAATTATCTTAAATTTATAATATATATATTTAATGAATTCTTTATTTTATGAATAACAAACCTTTAAATATATTAAAGTTGTTGGTATTGTTATTTGGATAAATTTTCAATCATCTCATAAAACTACAAATTCAATAAACTAAAAGTTGTTAAAAAATAGACTTATAAATTTATTATGAAATTTTTTTGAATAGGAATATCATTATATTCCTTATTTTGATGAAATCTTATGATATTTATTTTTTATAGATAAATGGAAGTAGTTAGGTGTATATTGAGATATATTTGAAAACTTTCGATTAATTCCTCTTATTTAAAATTTTTTCAATTTCAAAAAAAGATAGTTGATTTTCTCATTTAAGACCTTAAAATTTTTCATCCATTCCAAGTAATAATCAAATGATTTATAAATTTTGATATTTTCAGAAAAATCAGACATTGATATATGAAATTAAATACTTCTTATTTATTTCACAACATTATATATATGATTAAGAATAATAGATTTTATATGAGTAGCATCCTAAAAGAATTTTTATTTATATATATAGTCAGAGAAACTTAAAAAAAATTGATTAATATAATTAGAAAATTATTTTTATTAATGCTAGGATTACATTATTACTCGTATTAATATTATTCGTACTAAGACTTGCAAAAGATAAAGGAAATACTTAAGTATGATTCGATTGGTGTGATATAATTTTATGAAGGTGAGAAAATTATACAATACAAGATAAATAGATCAAATTGTTTTTTATTAAGTGATTTAATAGAATTAATTGTAATTGTTATTTTCGATATTTTAGAAAATTGGATTTATTAGATTTCATTTAGGATAGCTGTTATAACTTTTCATTAATTTGTTAGAGAAAGTAATTTACATGCAAAATCACCATATAAAACATAATTATTTAAGTTTAGATAATATATGGTTAAAATTTGAAAATAATCAATATCTCACTATTCTATATAAAAAAGTTTAATATTAAATTGCTTTTACAGGATATTAATAAAAACCATAATGTGGTGATTCCGAAAAAATACTATAAATTATTTAAGACATAATAATGTGTTTTTTAAATAATGATATAGTATGTAATAAAAAAAGCAAGTCAAAAAAAGATATCTTTGATAGCATTTACCAGGTTATTTTTAATTCATGTTAAAAGTAAGATATATAAAATACAATTAATGTCATTAAATAATTGCTTCTAAATAACAAATTTGACCCTAATTTTCAAACAATTTCATTTGATGATAAAATTATTGATTATTATAAATATTCAAAGAGACAATTTCAATAAGAAAAAATTCGGAAAACATTATAAAGTTTGATTTTAAAATATAATGAAAATCCTCTAGTTTTGGATTAATTTTTGTTTGAAAAAATTCGTGAAATGAGAATCAACTTAAAGAATTGGATATGCCCAGATTTAGATGAGACTTAAGAGTAAAAAAAATATAACGAATTGCTATCAAATTATCAAAAGAAAAAAGAATTATTAAATAGAGAGGCTTTTATCATTCTTAACAATATAATTAATGAGGAAGTGAAAAGAAAATTTAACGTATTTTTTAAATTTGAAATGGACTAGTCTTATAGATAAAAAATAATTGACTAAATAATGGAATTAAAAATATTCAAGTACTTTGAAAATTCTAAAACAATATATCAATGTGTTAATGAAGACTATTATTGTAAAGTACTAGTTAATTATGCAATTCCTATAGTAATGAAATGTGTAGATGAATATACCAAATTCTAAATTCTGATATTGATAAATGAGTTAATTTGAAATTAAATACAATAATAATATATATTCATTAAATATATAATAGTCAATTTCTATTAGTAATTTTTACCTATTTTTGTTACTTTTGAATAAATCTATTCAAGTTGATTATATTTTTGATACCTTTATATAGATGTGTAAAATAGTTCATAATATCTAATCTATGTTATAGATAATTTCAATATTTAAAGAAACAAAAACAGGAAACTCTTTCTATGCAAGCTTATGACTATATTATTTCAAGTTTTTTTTTTTTAAGTTTATTATTCTCCTCCATAACCTCCTTTATGATATTTATATTAATCAATTATAATAAATATAATTTCTATATTTTTCATCTTAATCCCTTTCGAACGACAAAATAAAAAGAATTTTAAGCATTCCTAGTATATTTATAAAACTTTACAAAATGTTAATCTAAAAAAAATAATTTTATAATTTTATTAAGTATTTTTAGCTTAACTTTGGTATTCTTTCCTTATTCTCTTTTATATTCCTTTTAAGTTTAATGGTACTAACCCAAATAAATTAAATTTATAATCTTCAAATATTTATAGTTATTATAATCTCACATTAAGCTAAACTTTTGGAAATACCTCAAAAGTATCATGTCTATCAAGTTTGCCATCATCGAAAAGCATTTTGTTATATTGAAATATAATTTATATGGCATCAAAAAAATTGTTTTATAATAATTAGAAATTTTTAAGCTAGACCTGTTAATGTCTTAGAGACAATCCTTAGATGAGAATGTGGTATTAGTTAAGAGTTAATATATTAGACTATTTTTGATGAGGCTATAATTAAACTGAAATTTCAAATTTTAAATCTTATAAAACCTCCTTAAAAATAGGAGAGAAAATAAAGCACAAAAATTAATTAAATAATATTTTAAATAAAACTTGTGAAAATTCTAGGAATTTTAAGAATATTTGAGATTGTCTTTCATTATCTTTTCTAATCTATTGCATGTGTTTAGACATTATTTGAAAAGGAGACTTATTTTAATTTTTAATAAACTACAAGCAATATTTAACATTATCTCTTCTAAATTCCTAATAGTAATATAAAATTATGGCATTATTTGTTTGTTAGAAAATATTATGAATATTTAAATAATTGTTATGAAGGATATTAATAAGAAAAATTTAAGTTTAAAAAGAAGTAATATAATTTAGTCTAATTTAAATTGTAAAATGGTCATTTATTTTAATCTTCTTCAAATTATTTAAATTTATAGATATTAAGTTTTTAATTATAGAATTGTTCGAATTCTGAAGACCAATTCATAGATTTTCATGCTACTTGCAATGAATGTGAGGGTCCAATACTTAATGATTGTTTATCCTGTTTTGAATATATCAATATAAGCAGTGTATTTTTGAATATGGAACAATTGATCCAGAATTTATTTGTACTACTTAACAAAACCTAAATTTAACAATAACTTCTGAAGAATTAACTTTTAATGGTTGTAAATATGGTTATTAATTATATGAATAATGATACTGGTGAGAGATGGTATTATAAATACGGAGGATTGGCTTATTACTGGTTGTTGCGAAATAAAATTGTTATCAGATAAAGAGGGTAATACAATCAAAAAAATAGAGGATCAGGAATGTTATGATAAATTCATAGAAGGTTTTTCTGAAGATGAAATTTGCTGAGAATGTGAACTTATGAACCCTATTGAAGAGCCACACACAATATAATAGGAAGATAGTTTTATTTATTTTTTAGAATATTAAATTATAAGAATTTCTTATAATTTTTAGATAATTGAATATATTAAATTCTTTAAAATTATTATAAATTATTCATAATTATTGAGTACCTTAAAAATGTGCTTTCTAGTTATAACCTTATAATTAACATTAATGTGTTTACTGTGATAAAAAATTTTGTATTTATTGCTTTTAATATTTTGAAGTGATTAAACAAAAATAACTCTAGATTAAGAAATTAAATTTGATATTGTTGGTGAACATTTTAAAACTAGATGTGCATAATGTATTGATGGTTTTTATTTATGATTTTGAAAAAGAATAATGTATTTATTAGAATCCTTCTATTTAAAATTGTCTAAGAGTTTATATTAATTAGGATGGATTAGAAATTTGTATTTAATCATTATCAAATGGCTTTTGTGTTGCCACAGAAATTATATATTATTAAAACCTCATTTTAAACTGCAAAAACTGTTTCTATACTCCAGACATATTAATAAAATGTTTGATTTGTGAAGATGGGTATAAGACCTCAGCAAATTCAAGGATGTGAAGAAAGAAAAACTAAAAAAATAAATATAACTAATACTAATTTAGAGAGTGTTATTAAAATATCAAATTTGAAATTATCAAATTGTAACTTTACAAATTCAACTTTGCTTTATTTCTCAAATCTTCATTAGACTATAATAATTGATAATCTTACAATTAATTTTTCTTAATTTTTTATTTCAAAAATACTCTTTTCAAAAAATTTGATTCTAATTATGTTGCTAGTATAATCATAAATAATGTTAATATTCAAAACTCTTCGTTTCTCTAAACTCAAGTTTTTTATATCAAGATGCAAATTCAAAATTAAAAATATTTAGTTTTCATTTGTTAAAAATTAAGTTAATTAATTTGAAAGAATAAATTCTTTAGTTTTTCTGTTGATGTTATAGATTAAAATTAAGAGATGAATAAAATTGATTTAATATTATCTAATTTTAAATTTGAAGATAACATACCTGACAAAGAAAATTAGTTATATCTTTTTATAATTACATGTTAAATCTTATGGATGTCAAATTTTTAATTAAGTAATACTTATAATTTTAGGTTTTTTTTTTAATTGCTTTTTCTACAATAGAATAGAAAACATCGTTTATGAGAATTAAAATTAATTAGAAAAGTACCAATAAGTTTTGATTGTTTTAAAAAATAATGCAATATGCTCAAAGTTATTGTAAGTTCAAGTTTCTCTAAAATAATTTAACAATAGGTTAAAATTATAAATTAATTCACCATAGATAAATAATCTAATTCTATGGTTAATGTTAATCAAATTAAATAAATATTAATTAAAGATGTGATCTTTATAGGAAATATTCTGTCAAAATTAAATTTATGGATTTATTATTCTTTAATTGATATTTTAGTAGAATCAAAAAATAGTTAAGTTAGAAAATTAATAATTGATCAATCAACATTTCTATCAAAAAAAGGTACATGAGTATAAATATAAAATATAAGAGTTATTTTAGTAAATTCTAGAATCATTAAAAATATTGTAACTAATAAGGGAAGAGGAATTTATTTTAATTAACTTTTTTGTATTTTTTTTTTAATAAGACTCTCTAACTTAAAGTCATTTACCTAGAAGGGAATAGCAGTTTAAACAAGTATTTTATTCAATCTCTAGTGATTTAAAATTCTGCTGATATACAAATAATCTTTATGAAAAACCTTTACATTTAGCTTTGTAGTTGAATTTTTAAGTAATGCATTCTTTGAAGTAAGAAATTAAATTTAGAATAATTTCTTAACTATATACAATTCTCTCTCAAAATGAAGTGAAAAAATAAATTACTTAACTATACCAAGTGGTTAAATACTAACAAATTATGAACTATACAATCTTAAATTGTAGAAATATGTATCTTACATAAAGGAGATTTCAGTAATATTTAAAAATAGTAGGAATGAAAAATAATATAGCACTATAAATTCAACCTAAGAAATTTATGATATTTAAGCTACATTAGCTTTAGATACTCAATTATTAAATATTATTGCATATGATTCAGATAAAAATAAATTTAATATAGGTTCAACAAAGTTCAATTTTTTGACCCATTTAAATAAGATGAAGGAAAATTTGAAATATTGATAGAGGGCAAAACAAATAATTAAGATAATATTTTATCTTATAAAATGAGAGTCAATAGCTTTCTTTGTTAATTCGATGAATTTTATACATCTGGGAGTTGTTAATCAGATTAAGGTTTTTATTCTAAACCCTACAAAAATACAAAATGCTCCATTTTTGATAAAACTAAATTTGATGCTATAACAGCTAATTAAATTTAATTAAAAGTTGGTTATTGGAGACAAAATCATATTTCTGATTATTGACCTTTGTTATAAAAATATTTACTGTTCTTATAAGATTAAAATTACTTAAACTTAAAGATATAGAAGTCATTGAGGATATTTATTCAATGAATAAATATATATTATAATAGGATAATTATACACTGGCATCTCTCATTCAAACCATTATAATATTAATTAGCATATTCTTAAGTTACCCTTTTATTAAAGGTATTCTTACAGTTTATTTCAAAAAATATAACACAAGCAACCTTAACTTTCATTCTTTCTTTATTTCAAAAGTCTTTTCTGAATATTAAATTAACAAATATTTAAGTTAATAAATTATGATATAAAGATATAGATTTATAATGCAATTTTCTATAGAGAGAACAGAAAATTATCAAATACTTTTAAAAAATGAAATACTCATCGTAAAGAAAAAGATAATTTGAGAATAATTAGTAAATTGTTCTATTTAATTCAAGGTAACAAATCATTTTCAATAGTAATTTTTCAAAAAATAATACGATTGATTTACTTTTAAATCAAAGTCAGAAAAAGGAATTCTGATATATATCATTGTTAAAGTAATAATTTATCTTATTTTGATTTTGATAATTTCTACAAGAGTTAATTTTACTAATTAATCTTGATTGTTTTTTTCTTCCTAAATTCTATTTTTCAATTAAGATTTTTAGTTTATTTCAATATTTCCTTAATTATATTATTTTTATTCCGTGATACTAAAAGTTATTTTGGTAAATAAGATCATTTTATTTTTCACTTCTACAACATATTAGATGGATGATATAATCTGCTATATGAGATGGCTTACATTAAGTAGAAGATTTCTTAAAATTAAACTAATATACTGTCAGAACCTACTTCTGGTTCAAATATGTGGTAAGAATTCATTTAATGGTTTAGATAAAATAAAAGATTGAGTGTAGGATATGCTAAAGTTTTCCGCTATTTTATTATTAAAGCATCAAGAATAAAGTTTTTGGTTAGCCTTTATATAATTATTATGCATCTTTTATTTTTGTTTAAAGCTTATTATTAATTAAAACTATTATAAGACTCTTTCTAATGGAAAAAGATCCTAAATCGTAACTATATTTTTTTATCCCTCTAAATCATGCCTACTTTTTATGATAGTCATCAATATTTAAATTGTAGTAAAATCTCTTTTAAAAGATATTGTTTTTTAAAAATTACCAATCTGGAAAGATTTTATTTTGTGGCAAAAGTGTTTGTGCTCATGAACCTTCTAAGAAGTAAGTATTTAAAGTATTGTCTAACGTAAAGATGAAACTGCAATAGAGATATATCAATTAAAAAATAAAATCTAAATTTATTATGATTTTTTTAGTTTTTTATTTTATATAAATTTATTCAGGCTGATTTTAGTTAATTAAAATAATTTTTAATCTAAAATGGCAAAGTTAATATATTTCTAGTAATTTTATTAAGTCTATCTGAATAGAGTTAATATCAATTACTAAACCTTATTGATAAAATTTAACTACTCAGAATCTAATCAGGATATTAATAAATTAGGTTGAAATAAAAAATAAAATGAAATCTTTCTGAAATATTTAAAATAAATAATCTATTCAAACAAACCACTTAACTATCAAACTCAATTTCATAAGTCTAATTTCAAAATAGAGTTATCTAAGATGTGTGTATTAATATTATATAAATTATTTTTAAAGTTCTTTTTCTTTGATAAAATAATGATATTTTAATAATTTTGATAAAACATTAATTTCAGGGAAAATTAAATCAGTTAATACAAAAAGAATTAGATAGAAGAATAATTAATAAAAAACTGTTAATTAAGAAATTGATAATGGATAATATAGATAAATTTTGATTATGAATTATTCAATCAAATTTTTCTTGCTTATATAACTTTAATAGCTTTTTTGACAACTTCAATAATGTATGTTAATTGAACTGATTTTAATTTTTTTTCAGCAGAATATTTATTCAATCCTAATCCTCCTATCATAGGTAATATAGCATTGATTATTGCAGCAAAAGTACCTGGAATAGCAATGCTTTAACTCCAATAAGGATAAATGCAATAACAATTACTAAATAAATTACTAAAATAATTAGTCCTTTGATTAATAAGGGTTTTGAAATACCTAAATATTCTAAACTTAGAAACATAGTTTAAATAGAAATTTCTTGCATGATTTCTTTAAATTCATAAAAATCAATCATGCAATTTTTCATGTTAACTTATTATCCTTTAATTATTACCAGCACTTCTCTAAATTTATGTTCTGTAATTTCTATATTTACTCTTCTTAAAAATTAGATAACATCATTAGCTTATACTTATCTTTAACTGTTTTTATCCAAAATTCTAAACATATCTTCATATTTTAATTCTTGATTATCATTTAATTTTAGCATAACTGAACTCATGTATTAAATGGTTCTCATTGTATCTGGATCTGCTAATGAAGCCATTTTCTCTTCAATTAATTATTAAGGTGTTTGCAAACTTATTTCAAAATCTTACATTAAACGAATAAAAAACTAACTATTTGACAAAGATATTTTCATAATTTAAAAGAATTCTTGTGAAATCTTATTGAATTACTTTTTTTTGAGTGCAAAAATTGATTCAGAACATTTGATTAAAATTTATAAATTAATTTTCTATTTTTCTCCAAAAATAGGTTCTAAGACTGATTTTATTGCTGTCAAGAATTCCTTTTCATTTACTTCTTTTGATTCATCAATATACTTAATCATTTTTTATACATTTAAAGCCATTTAATGTAATTATTCAAAAGGAATATTTTCAAGCTTTAATCCTTCTAATTATTTATTTTCAAAACATTATTATAAAATTGAATGAGATAAAAATTTTAGAGTATCAATTTTTTTAGTTTAATAAAATGAAACTATTATTTCAACAATTTTCTTTATTTCTGGATAATTTGAAAGTAAATTAGAGATGGTTAATATAAATTTTTCACTTAAAATATCTTCTGAATTCTATATATCTTGTAAAGTAAAGAAAATAGCTTCAATTACTTATTTATCATATTTTAAAGTCTCATTCTTTGTAATTTCAACTATAAATTTTTTCGAAAGGGTTTAAAATGGACTTTCATTATTTTCATTATCATATAATTATTCAATTAAAGCTTAAATAATAATTTGTAAAGAGGCTGGAAATTATGAAATATCAAAAACCTTATCTCTAATAAATTACAACATTTATAATAGATCACTCTCCTAATTTTGTAAACACCAAGCTTTAAATGATTTCAGGTAAAAGTTCACTTTTTTTTTTGATAAATCAGATTGTATGTTAATCTCTTAATTATTTAAATCACACAATATACTTAAAATTTACTTAAAGTGTTTTGGAGTAATATTTTACATAAATGTTTTAGAGAATTCAGAAAATTTGGTAAATGGTTCTTTAGGGTTTTCTAAAGTTGACCCTAACCATATAATTGGATACAACAAAACATTCATTATTGTTATTTCATCTATTTCGTTTATAGGAAAATAAGGAATATGTATAATTAAACTAAAAGATACGAAAAGATTTGAATATTTATAAAAATTTACTAAGTTTAGTCTTTCTAGAATTTAATATGACTTTACAATAAAAACATTAACATTTTCAGCCTTTTTTATTTCAATAATATCCTAAAATAATTCTAATGCACCCTTATACTTTTCATCTTGTAAAAATTTAATCTAACTTACAAATTATTAGATATTTGAATTTAATTAATCACCTTTAAATAGCAATTCTATTATAAGTTTGATTAAACTTATTAATTCTTAGTCCTCTTATAAATCTATATTAAATAGTTTTATAAGTATCTCTAAAGATAAACTATTTTCGCTATATAGTACTTCTGTTTTTCCTTCAAATAATAAACTTATAAATTCTATAATTTAACATATGCTTTTTTCTGGTGGTACTAACTAATGTTTTATAAAAGTATTAATTAGTGCATATTCTATAATTTCACTTAAATTTTATTTAGTGTGTAATTTTAATATTTATTATAAAGATTATTTCTCTATTTAATCTTTATTAATTAAAGCATTTCTAAAACCACAATTTTTAAAAAATAACAATATTTCTAATATAAAAGTTCTTATAAGACTCTCTGATAGTAAGTCCGTTTCTAAATTTTCTTAATGTCTAAGAAGTGCAATAAATGTATACCAAGCTTCAACATCACCTAAGAAACATCTTATCATTACTTTTATTTGATATCTAGTAAATGTAGATATTAATTTGTAATCCTTAAGCAATTCATCTATTCCTAAACTTAAGAGATTGCTATTTTATTTATACATTTAAATATCGTTTTAATACAAATTTTCATCTTAGTTTCCTAAAGAATAGTATAAATAGCATTTTGGAATTCTCCCTAGCTATTACTGAGAAGTTTTATAATGGTCTCTTGTTTTCTAGTTATACTTTCACTAATATCATCATTACTGCATTCATTATTATATTTTTATTTCCCCATTATTTATAATTAAACTATTCATCCAATATATCATTTGGATTATAAAGTAAATTTATTAATGATCTATATGCTTTTTATTCACTCTTATGTAATGTTAACCCTAAAATATTATCAATTAATTAAATTAAATCAACAGGAAATTTTTGTTTTGATCCTCTAAATTTCGATTTAATACTTTACTATTATTTTAAGCATAAAATTGCCTAAATTAGTTTTAATTCTGTTTCTTTGAAGTTTTATTTTTATTATTATAAGTTTTCTATGTTGTTTCTTTCATTTATGGAAACTGTAAATTGCCCTATATAATACTACATTAATTAAATCATAATTTATTAAATTTATTCATTTTCTAATAGTTCAATTTCACTTTGCTTAAATATTTATCTTTTAATTAATTATAAGGATTTATCCCAATACTTTGATCTAATGTATCCATATTGTGATAAATTTAATTAAATTAAATTAAAAATTAATGAATATTATAGTTATAATTTCGATAACTCTTTTGGGAATTTTTTTATTATTTCATCAAAGTAATTCTTTTGATTGCTTTCATTTGATAAACTATTAAAGTAAATCCTAGAAATTTACTAAGGATAATTAAAATTGTTTAAAAATAATGATGTCCAAAATTTATTATAATCCTCAAATTCTAATCTATTCTCTATTTATTCATTATTTTATGGTAATATCCTATAAAAAACTTTGCAATATTCATCATATTAATCATTAAAGTTCTTTGAGAGATCACTTAAATTATTAGTTTTTTAACAAATATAATTAGGCTTAATACCATTTATTTCTAATAAAGGATCGCTAATTCCAGGATATAATAACCCTTCTAATTTTACATAATCAATTTCATATTCAGAAGATCTCAAATTAGTAGTATCAAATATGCCTAAACTTATCAATTTTACCATAGCAGGTTTATTCAAATTAATAAGATTTTTATTATCATAAAAATACAAATATTTTTCAAATACCGTAAATGCTATATTAATGCAAAATTAACCTTTAAGATATTTTGCCAATGCATTATCTTTTTATTATTTTATTTATCTCATTTATTTCAATGAAAAAATAAGAACTAATGATGAAAATGGGAAATAGTTTGAAACTTTTCCTTTAGCTTAAGACTTCAAAAAATTTTCAATGGTAATGAATTTATTTATATCTAATCCAAGAGAATTTAGTAAATCATTAACTATTTCATTATTAAATTTTGGATGTTTTGAATTCTTGACTGCTTCGAATTCTATAATTTTAATAAGAGTTATAACATCATAATGAAATGTATTAAAATTTTACAAAAATTCTAAGATTATTTTTTAATTATTTATGTTAACAGATTAAAAAATTTATTATAAGGATCGATTTGAGTTTTGATTGTCATTAAAAATTGCGTTAACCAAAAGTGGATTAATACCAGTTGCTAATTAAAAAAGGTTAAAGGCTTCTTAAACATCTTAATCACTAGTTTGAGTAATAAATAATACTGCTTTTTCAACTGATTTGTTACTTAACTTTTATATATTATCTGACCTATATTTTATATATTCTGGTGGTTGTGTTTAATACTAATTATATTAATCATATTTGGCTATTCCTACAATAGCAGCTGTAAATATAGCAGCTGGTTCATATTAATCAAGTAATTATATTCTATCTAGTAAAAATATGAAATTTATTGGTCTAGGATGTGAGAACCAATGTAAAATCTCAAGCACTTTTGTTAATTCAATATCATTCTATTAATTTTATTAAAACCTAAAGTTTTCATTACCTTATTTAAAAATTTCAAATCTTTAATCTTATAAAGAGTTAAAATTTAATTACAATTCTTTCAAAGATTCTTTAAAAACCAGCTATCTTTTAAAAGCAAATAAAACTTTAAATAATTTAGATAAACTTGGATTTTATTATATTCTTAACTTAATGATAAATGATTCAGCGTCCATAGAATTTGTCTCAAGAACTTCTACTAAACTAATTATTGGGGATACTTCTTATAATTAAAGTTCTGTTTTGATGAAATCAAGGTTTTATGGATCTTACAGTAGTTTTAATTTATTTTCAGAAAATATTGCAGATACTAGGAACTAAGCAAATTTTAAAGTTTACTCTTCAAAATTAAAAACATTCACTAATATATCGTAATCTAAATTTGATGTCATCAAACTAAATAACCCTTTAATATATCTAACATTACAATTAACTTCCTCCTCTTGTAAGATCATTAAGAAACAATCTAAATTCAAGCTTAGAGTGTATTTTAATTATTAAAATGCATCATATAACTTTCCATTTTCCAAATACATATAATCAAAATACTTCTTTGTTTTAATTTTAAAACCATTAATAATATCTATTACTTTTCTGAAAAATTTGTAATAGCGAGTCCTATTTAGGAAATAGCCATTACAAATATCAAGGAAATGAAAAAGAAGTCTGATATAATTTCCATCAATTATATCAGCCATAAAATCGGAAATATGCCGTAATTTATAACTAGATATTCGACGATCTAATTTTAAAACATTCCTAACTGCTTATTTTTTGATTTCTGCATTTTCATTAAACATCATTTAAAAAAAATATTCACATAATTGAATTTAAGCTAAAAAAATTTTAATGTCATTTGAATTTTAAGATGAAACAGTTGGAGCAAATTCCATCTTCTTCCGCTAAACTTAGCATATAGTTAAGTTATCATTTAATTCATATTTTATATGCTAAAATAGGTGGCCTAAAAATGAATTATTAACTGGTTGCCTTGTTTAAAATATTTTATTGACAACTAAATTTTATAATTTTTAATTTATATAGTTTATTTTATTTTGGGTTTAAAAGGATATGATATTTTTTTCAATATCTATTATTTTTTAAAGTTCTATCTAAATCTTGCTTATATCAATGCTTTCATATTCAAAGGAATTAAACTTAATAAAATACTAAAGTGATTGTTATACACTGATGGCATCTTAAAAAGATATAAAAATTAATAAATTTTTGAAAGCTTCTTAATTAAGTCCATTGAGTTAAGGAAAAGACAATGTAGTATTAGATAAAATACATTACTATTATTCTAAAATCATAAATATATAGTCTAAGTGAAGACCAACTTATTTAGATAACTATTATAAGAAATCTAGCTTAAATTATTTTGATTTTTTATCCCTTTAAGTCTACATTAAGAAAGTAAAAAATGTAATATTTTCTGTTTTATAATAGTTAACTAATTAATCTTCACTTTCATCAAGTTATTGATTTATTTCAATTTAAAGATTTCTATCATTCCAAATTTTTTCAACTGTTCCTCTAAACTCCGAATCATTTTCCATTTAAAATAAAAATTCTTAGCCAAACAATTATAATTTTGCCATAGCAAGATATATTTTTATTTCTTCTTTGTCAATCATTTGTCTATTATACTCATTAAATATATTTTCTATAATCATAAATCCATTAAAAAGCTTAAACATTGCTTATGATGAAAATATAATTTTTAATAGTTTGTTGATTAATAATTTATTTTAAACTTATTTTAAGAATGGCAAAATTTCTTCAAAATTAGTTTTTGATAACAGTTAAAAAATAAAATTAACAATTGTAACTTTGGTATTGAATGTTTATGTTTATGCTATTTTAAATAATTCATTATAAATGGCATCATGATATATCGTAGTTTGGATATCATTTTTTAAAATTAAAATTAGTCCAATTACAGCATTTTCTGAAATTTAGAATGCTTAAGACATTAGTTTAATTATTCCTCTATCTTTTAATTTATCTTTTCTAGAAAGTGTTTCAGATGCTTATATATTTTTTTTTCTCTAAATTACATTCTCATATTCAGGTGATTATTTTTTAAAATTCTGTCTCTCTAAAATTTTTGAAGACCATAAAAATCTGCTTGAGACATATAAAATATCAAATAAAATTTCCCTAGATTTATCTTATAGATTGATATTCATGACTTGGTACCAATCCTTTATACCTAATTAAAAGCTTGAAAATCCTAAATATAATTGTTCTTAATATTAATCTAATAATTTCTCAAAATATTCTTGATTATTATCGTTCTTTTCTGAGTTAATTAATTAAAATAATTTCACTAAAACAGCAAGTGGTGGTTTGTCATTTTATAAGAGTTTCATAATAAAAATAACAAAAGTTTCAAATTTCATTTTAAGTATTTAATCTTTGTTATCTTTAAGAAAATATTTATCACATAATCTCATTATAATTTCAGATTATTAAGTGGCATTTAGTTAGATATCTTTATCTATAAATAATGATTGTTTTTTTTAAAATAATATTTTATATACAGATCCTAAATCATTATCTATATTAAATAAAGATAGTAATTTTGTTATTAACTCTTATTTTAATTTATGGGTATTATTGTTGTCGTTTAATGATTACGCATATGAAAAAATTAATTCTAACACTTTCAAGGGAGTTGGAGATATTGTAATAAAATCCTTGAGATTTTCGAATAAATATTTAATTTGTAAATATGTGCTTTAAGATGAGCTATTCATCAACAAATTAAAAATTATTTTCAATAAAATTTGATATATTAATTAGATTCCTTATTTATCTTCATTTTTTATTTTTTGAGTCATAAAATCAACTAAAGCCTCACTAATAGTTTGCCAATGATTCAGTAATTCATACTTTTCTTAGTCTTTATTTGTTGTTAAGAGATTATTTAATTTAACAGATGTCTAATAAACCCATTTAATAATAGATGCTGGTATTTTATTTTAGCTTTCTATTTATATCTAGTTTGCTAATGGATTAATGATTTGGTCAAAATTGCTAAAATGAACTTTGACTAATAATTCCGCTACAATTTAAGGAATTTCAAATTAGTCCTTAGAAATATTAATAAATTTTTCTTAAGCTTTTTAAAGAAATTTTTCCTTAATTTATTTAAAATTTATTTAATCCTAGTTTAAATCAGCAGAATAAGCATAATCTAGCATTCCTTAAGTTAAAATACAAAGTTCATTCAGTTCTTCTTAAAAACCAAGATTTTTAGCTGCTTATTTAGCTTCATTCATATTTTTTGAATTAATAATTGTAATAGATAGATCTGATACTATTTAAATTTCTTTGATTAGAGATCCTGCAAAATTTCCAAAAGTTCTCAAAAAAATTTCATTCACTATTTTTTTAATTTCACCACATACTTATTCATAAATTGATTTAATTGAAGATATTTAAACAGCAATAAATGCCACAAGAGATAAAGCAGAAGATGAGTAAACCAAATATAAATTAGGGTTTATTATTGCACCTAAAAGTAACCATACAATTATTAATCCAAAATATATGAATGAACTGAAAGCTAATAATAAAAATTGTAGCCATTAAAATAAATTAAAATATTTTAATACATTATTTTAGTACAACTTAAATTCTTAAATGAAACCAACTTCTTCTGGAAATTAAGATGATAAATATTTCACACTCTAGAATATAAATGAAATGATTGCATAATATGTTAATAGAATGCCTAATGCTAGAACCCAATCATCTGCATTTCCAAAATAACCAATAATTAACCAAGGTCTATATAATACATCATCCATAAATAATAAGGTATTGGGGTTATAAATTGAAAACGGTGAATAAGATGCATTAACTAAGACAATAAAAAAAAGCATCGGAATTATAGTAAGCATTGTAACTAAAAGATTACAAAAAATGATAAATAAATCTGATAAAACCCAGTCTTCTATATAAAGAACCTCAAATAAGTCACTTAAAATTAATCCAGAATTACTTCCTTAATATTTATAATTTCTATTCCAGAATCTTTCATGATAATTAAATATCAAACTTTGAATGAACATATTATAATTAAGATCCTAATTTACTATCTTTCTTAATGATTCAATCGGATTTTGTTAACATTAATTTATTTTTGAGTCTTTTTTTATTTTAAATATTGATTATCCAAAATAATTATCATCAATAAGAGGGATGAATTTTGCAAATTTACGAAGCAGCCTAAAAACCCTTGAATATCTTTATGAATTTGGTACTATTACTTAATTAAGTTCAAATGCTTTAAGATCTGAAATAGATAGATTGTAATTATCTGAAATTACTTTAGCATTAAATTCTAAAATTGTTAAAGTCTTACCACAGAAATCAACATAAGCCTTTTCAAGTTTATCTGATCTAATTACATCTGCTGGAATTCCAGTTAGTAAGCATTAAGTGGAAATGAATAGCTCAATGGAATTTTTAGATGTCTTTTCTTCATAACTTATTGAATCTAAGGATTTAGGATTTGGATTCATTTTTATTTTAGACAAAATGAGTACATCTTATTTTTCTACAAATTCATAACCATATTATTTTAATAATTCTATTTATTATGATAATGGCTCAATTGTAAGTTTGTTAAGATAACAAAATTATTCATATTGTTCATTAATCTCCTCTTCATCAATGCTATCATCGTAATAACTACAGATTATATATTAGTTTTTATAAATGTTTAAGACTTGATTTTAATAATGAAAGTTTGAAAAATAAATTCAAAATTTTTAATTTTTATTTTACTTTTTGTAAATAAAGTATTAAAAAATAATTTTGGGGCACTCTTAAGTTATGATTAGCACAAAAAATAAAATATATATGATAATACTCCCAATAGAATTGGAGGATCCTTTTATGAACCAATCTAATTTAATTTCTTAATCATTTATTTTATTGTTTCTGTTAAATTACTTTTTTTTTATTATGCTGTCTCATTATAATTTGAAATTTATGTGCAAGATTCCAAAGTAAAAGCTTCTAATCCTTTTAATACATATATAGGAAATAAGTACAAAACACTCCAAAAATTAAAGAGGAGAATAAAGACAATGTTATTGCTGCAATAAAAAATGGATCATATTCCAAAGGTTAAAAAATAATATTATCAGCAATATTTTCAATAGTTGACCATTTTTCAAATTATCCTTTTTATTTTTATTCTAATGGATTGAAACCATAATAATTAATATTTAGATTCAATACATCATCTTCCATCATATCATTATCTTTCTAAATAAGAATAGCCTTTCCATATGTTGTATTAAAGGTTCTCTTAATCAAATCTGAAATTTCAAGAATTTATTCTGCATTCATTGCAACATTTTATGGGCAAAATCCTGATTCAAGACGAACATACATATGTTCAAAAGAAGGATTCAAAAAAGTGCCAGAAAAGGCTGATAACCACCATGGCTAAAATGCTGCATATGATGGGTTACTAAAATAAGTCCAAAAAGTACTCAAAGAATGTTACAATAAGTAATGACCACCAACATCAAGTCGTATAGCTATATTCTCTGATCCACTTTTGTTTACAAAATTTTATATTTTGAATAAGGATTCTTAATCAAAATTTAATTACCCAGAATCAAAAGGAGATGTTTTAAATACTTCTACTTCATAAATATTTTAGATTAAAGGTTTTCCAATCTCTGATAATGTGTTTGCATAAATTTTACTAGAATTAGCTATAATATTTATTGTTTATTTTATATCACAAGAATTAGCTGAACATAAGCTTAAAAAACCTGTACATTCTTTATCAACATTTCCTTATTCATTTTTTGTTAAATTACAATCATTGATATTTTCTTATATTATCTTCTAACTGGTTGCACAAATTGATTGAGATTATGATGAAAAATTTAAGGAATATGGTTTAGTTGATTAAAGAAAAATATCACCTTAATTCAATCTTATATCTGCTTTGCTTATTAAAAAATTATTCACAAATAAATTTCCTGATGATGATGAATTGTATATGAAATTTTCTGTTTCAATGTTTCTTATATTGATTTACATCTTTGCTTAAGACTCTGAACTAGCATTGAATTTTTAAGTCACCTTAAAATTTTATAGTCCAAATGCCAGAATACATTCTGATTAATATCTACAAATAAATTTGAATTCATCAATATTAACTGGCAATTATAAATCTACAATACATTTTCTTAACTAAGATAAAATTAATAATGATTACATCATTTGTTGGATTATAAAAAGTTAAATTAGCTACTCCAGATTCTAATATTTCTGCTTTAATTATAAATTAATTTGCTCCATTTATTTATTATATCACACTTCCTTTTGCTTTAACAAAAAACTAAAAAATTATGCTTTCAAATATACTTTTAATAAATCATTTGATTAACTCACATTCAAAAAACAATTACCAACATATATATCTATTAAACCTGTGTCTTTTTCAGCCTACCAAGATGTGTTTTTCACTGTTACAGAATCTCCCCATACAAATAATATAATTCCTATTCCAATTAGAATCAATTGAAGTATAAATCTAGTTAGTCTTCTAAGTAAAATCATTCCTAAGTATTGACTATAATAGTAATATTTTTGAACCTTTATATGTTATTCTCCAAAATGAATGTTGAAGTTTTTTTAGCCTCCTAATGTTATTTGATTTCAATCATCCATTTATTTAAATAATCCTTCTTTCCTACTAATCTCGTTTTTATTTTTTAGTCACCATTCTAATTAAATATCATTTCTCTTACTCCTATTTTTCCATATTAGATAGGCTCTATTTCTTCTTTTGGAATTTAATCATCTTAGTAATTTAATAATCTATTATCACCAGAGTCATTTGGATATACCTTTCCATAATTAATATGAATATAATTTTGTTCCTTAGAATTCATAATTCTTTGAAATGATTAATTTAAAATTGAAAAAAGGAAACAATTTTATTGGATTTCAAGATAATATTTTAGGGAGTTATAAAAGACTACTATTTATTATTAAATAATTTTTATAATTTTAAACTTAACATATTAAAAATAAATTAAGTCAAAAATTCACAAAATTTCTGGAGACTATTCAATCTTTAATAATAACTTGTCATATTTATTTTTAGTATTGTTCATTATAGTTTGCTAATTGTTTAATAAATTAATTCAAATAATTCTATATTTAAAATTTTGTTAATTTATATTACAAAAATAAATTGCTTTAAAATGAGTCAATAAAATAATATAATACTTTTAGGAAAGTTTGAATATAGATGCTTAGCAACCAATCCCTCTGGATAAAGTAATTTAGATTCCTTAGATTAAAGTAATGATGATTCTGAAAATTAAAGTCATATAGAAAATATCAACATTGATGGACAAGAGGAGAATTTAATTTACTTTTCATAAATATCAGATTATTCTTTAGAAGAAGATCGCTATTATGTTGGTCAAGTACAACTGTCACCGAATTAGCAATATATTGCATTTGAAATAAAAAAATCTGATAGTAACTCTGAAATGTATTTTCACTTGATTTTCAATATTTAAACTTAAAAATTATTGTATAAAGATGAGTAATATTATTCAAAATTTATGTTTACATCAGATTCTAAATACATTATCTATTGCTAAGCCTATAAAATTTATTTGATGGAATTAGAATCAATATAGAATAAATTGTTGATCGAAGAAAATTTTGCCTAATTACTTACTGTAGATTCAAATAATAATATTTACATTCAAAAAAATAATTACTTATATCTTTATTCTATTGAAAATAAACTTACATCTTCATTTATTCTAAATGAATCTCTTAAGAGTCAATTTATTCGTTAAGCTTATAAATTGCATTCAGACTTCATCTTTTTAGTTTCGCAAGATTCTAACTATATTATCAATTATTCTTGTAACAAAATTTTATCAAAGCAAAGAAGTTTAGAAGGTCAATGTTAAAATGTGATTTTTCAAAATTAATTTCTTATAGAATGGGATCTTGAAATTGATTAAATCAATTTAAGTAATTTAAAAAATCGAAAATTGATTAGAAAATTCAAGAATAACCAGGAAGGATCAAGCTCAATATTCAAAAATCAAAATTCAATATATAAATATTTTTTCTTTCGTGATTCAGAAAATAGTCACATTGATCAAAGTTACATAAGAATAAATTTATTAACTAATGGCAAAATCACATCTAGACTTAGCTTAGGGAAATATAAGTATCTTATCTATGAGAGAATTATAATGACAGATTACCTATTAATTATAATTGATTCATTTAAGTTCAGATTTTTTTAGTATGATTTGTAATAGATCGGTCAAATATGATTTATTATTTTTATAAATAAAAAACAATTTGAAAATTATTATATTATATTATATTATATTATATAAACTTTTTTTACAGAATTAAATTTCTAAGTTTTCCAAATTCATTATTTTAGAGATAGAGAAAGATTTGATATACTTGTTTTCTCAGAATATTTTTTATAGAATGCAATTGGAGCACACTTTGAAAACATTTAGAATTACTGTCAAGATCTAAACAGAAAGTATGTTTAATTATTATTTTTCATCTAGTTTTCAATAAATACTCTTATCTTTTTCTTCAGAAGATATTAAATTATAAATTAAGAAAAAAATATCTCTATCACACATGCAAGATCTTAAATGAGTTTTTCTTATTCAATTATAGTAAGTAAATAGATAATTAATGAAAAAATTAATTCGATGAGTTTTAATTTAAAAAGAAAATTCACAATATTATTTACAAATTAATCTATCAAAATAATGAGGAAATTGATATTAATTATTGATGCTCCAAATATTAGTTCAAATCAGTAGTAATGCTTGTAGTATTCTAAAGTGTGAATATATAATTCCAATGAAACCATAAAAAAACAAATAATTTGATAAAATAGTTGCCATTAACTTCATAAAAATGATTGGTATATAAAATAAAAACTTTTAAAATAATTAATGAGGTTCTTTTAATATTATAATTATAAGGTTAGATTGCTGATTAAACCATCAGATACACAAAATTAAAAACTATATTTGATCTTTTGATTATTATTATAATTGAGAAACCTTCTGAGTTACTTCTTAATAATTTATATAAAATTTGTTCTATTTTTAATTTGGCTAAAATCAATTAATTAGGAAAATAAAGAAGCACCCATGTTTTATGTTTTGGATCTTGCATTTTTTTATTTAAGCCAAGAAATACTTGCCCAGAAAAAAAGTACCATTGATGATTTAAAACCATTTAATCAATAACAAAAACTATAGTAATTAAATAATGGTTTAGTCATCACAACAACAATCTGGATTTGAAGAACAGAAGCATTTTAGGAGGAATTATAGCAAGTTCAAGGATTAGCCATGGGAGGTTTAGAAGCAATAGCACTACCAATAATATTCTAATGAATACAAAATAAGATTACTATCTCTTATATTTATTTGCTTGTATAATTTTCATTCTTCAGAAATCTTTTAATTTTAAAAGCAAAAATAGTAATTTATATTTTCATATTTAACAATCAGTTTGTTTACATATAATTACAGTTTGAAGTAGGACTTATTCTTCTACTTAAAAATCTCTCATATTTTTAGCCATTCAAATGCAAATGAGCCTAATAATACTTATATTTAGTAATTATTAATTAGTTTTAATCATAGCCAAAGTAGATTAAAAAAATGAAATTGCTGGTCAATATTTCTGATGTTAAGATAATAGATTTATGGATTCTGCTTTTTAGGGAATTCAGAGTTAATTAAATAAAAATTAATATTAAACTAAATAGAAATAGTTTATTAAAATTTACTAAATAATTTTTTCCTATATAAAGTTACGAATCAAAATAAGAACATGGTATGAATGATAACAGCAGCATATCCAAGAACATATCCAGAATCATCAGTGTTAGTATCTTTATTAGTTGTATTTGGATTAGTTGTGTTGTTATTTGGTTAAGGTGTAACTGTTGAACAAGCTTAGCATCCAATAGTTTCAGTATTCCAAATATAAGTAAAACCAGAAACAGACAAACAGGTTTCAGCAGTCAGTCAAAGTTTTTGGATCAACTTCAGAGCATTTTCCTTGAATAGTCTGACAGATTTATTACAAACTCTCATCAAAGCTGAGGAAATTTTCACATCTAGCACAAGTATGTTATTCACATTTGGATGAACTAGCTGGTGTAGTTGCAGTTGCTGGAACTTGATCAGTCCATGCACATTTTCTAGCAAAATTTTTGCAAGCATCTTTATCATTATTAGCTTATGAACAAGATGTCATTTTAGTACATGTACCAGTACCAGTAGAAGATCCAGCATCAGTAGATGCAGTGAATATACAGACAACTCCATCAGTTTCACCTGCGTTGCATGAAGTTTTAGTTTTGTAAGTAGAACATGCTCCTGTAGAAACACATATAGTTCCATCAGAAACACAAGAAAAAGCTCCTGCAGAACCTGTAGTGCATTCTGTAACTTTGAGATCAGCACAAGTTTTGACTCTACAAGTAGCAGTATTGATATTAGTGGCTGATGCTGCTTCAAAGAAACATGAATTATTATTAGTATCAAATGCAGCATTACAAGCAACATCAAATACTTCGTATTTATCACAAGATGTTCTATCTAAACATTTAACTCCGTTAGAAGTACATGAACTTAATTATGAAGAACAACCGAAATTAGTAGTTGTGTTACTCACTAATTCAGCACATTTTTCATCATGACAAGTTTTATTAGTACCATCCCAATTACATTTGCCTGTCAAACTCTTTGATGCTGCTGTTTTAGATCTATTATTAATACATGCATCTTCAACCTTGTAATCTTTACATTCTTACAATTCAATACATGTTACCCCATCAGTTGAACAACTTGTATTAACTTCTTAAGAACATTCTTTCCATGTAGAAAATGCAGCATCAATACAACCTTTGTCCCTTTTTTTACAAGCCTTTCCTGTAGCTGTTTTATTTAAGATGCATTATCCATCATATCCTGTTTAACATCCTCCAGTTATATTAGTTTATTCGCATGATGTAATAGAAACACATTTGGTTCCATTAGTTGTACATTTTGGTGAAATAGCTTTACATTCATTATCTTTTAACCATGTAAGACTTTCACATTTAGTATAAGGATAACATGCTCCGCTAATCCATAAGCACGGCCCATTTAGACCTTTAACGCAAGCAGCTTAAACTGTTGTTTTTTCACAATCTTACACAGCAACACATTTACCTACATTTCCAACAGTGCAATCGCCTACTTTAAATTATCTTTAGCATTCAGCGTGAGACGTTCCGGTGAAATCAATACAATTTTAATATCTGCATGAGCCATTATCCCAAATACATTTAGTCTTTTAGCTGTCACCGTTACTACTAGTACAAGCACCATAAGTTTTGATTTAAGTACAAACAGTTCTATCAGTACAACCCCCAGCATCTGCTTTTAACATACATTTTCCAGGTATGTAATAATTATAACATAATTCATCAGTAGTGTATTCAGTTACAGGGGCAGTAGAGCAAGTCATTAAATCACATAAATTCTTTTCTGAATCCCATTAACATTTGTTGTCTGATATATCAGTAACACATGCATTCTTATATAATGCTTGATTACATTGTTTTCTAAGAACACATTTAGTACCATCAGTTGTGCATGTATAAACACATGAAACATCAGTTTTACATATCTTTAATTTCTCTTTACAAGCATCATCTGTTGTGAGTAAGAAATCTTCACATACCAAAGTTTTACAAGGAATAGTGTTGTCTTGAGTACAAATTTTATTATAATCCCCGCATTAGCTATCATTAATAAAAGATTGAGGTGCATTTTCACAAGTTGGAGTTATACATTTTTCACCATCCCAATAACATTTCTCTTAAGCTTAATTAATATAACATTATTCTACTTTGTTTAATTCTTCACATGTAGCAGGTAATTCAATACATCCTTTAAGTGTTTCAGCAACAGTGCATTTATTATTAAAATAATAATAACATTCAACATGATCAGTGAATGTAGGTTAAGCAGTAGAACATGATTTATCGGCACATTATTCTCCATTCCACCCACAAGGGCCCTATTAATCATTTACTTAACAATTTTCTTCACTTTAATAAGTAGTACTACAAGCAGCTAATGGAATACAACCACCTCCAACAATAGGAGGATCTGAAGGATTATCTGATTTAACAGCTTTAACTGTACACGAATATTTTGTACTATCAAGTTAATAATAACTTAGACAACTGTTGTGAGTATTATATGTATTATCTGCAGTATTACAAGTCTTATTAACACATGTGGATGATTTATCAGTTACAACCCACTCACATGGACTGTGTGATGTATCAAATTAACATTAATCTTTTATTTTATATGATCCACAATGACTCAAAGCAATACATCCATATCCAGAACCAGAATCATCTGAATTACTTCTAACTGTGCATTTGAGAGTTTTAGAATTGTTATTTGTTAAATTATTACACTAGTTATGACTACTATAACTAGCAGATTATTCAATTTTATCACAAGACAATTCAACACATGTCTTAATTGTAGCATTCCAGAAGCACTCTTTATTTGTGCTTGTCTTATAACATTATTGTTCCTATTTATAATCACTGCAATTGACTGTAAATTCTTAACAACCTCCAGGATTAGATAGTGCACATTTACTAGAATATATATTACATTCATCATTCGATCCAGTTTTATCCATACAATCTAATAATTTACATTTTCCATCTACAAATGCACATTCACCTTCTTTAGCTTGGAAACATGTAGCCTCTGTTGTTTAATCACCACATTTATCCTTTATAACAGTACAAGCTGCAGTTCCATCAGTTTTTTTATTCCATGTACAGGTTGACAACCATTCATTACATTTTGCAAATGAATAATTAGTAGCTGCATTATTACATGTTCTATCAATACATGCTGTTCCAACATCATTGGCAGTACATAATGCATTCAAACTGTTACACTTAGTATCTGTATATTTATATTCTTCAAAATATATTAGATTACATGCAGTATTACGAATTAGATTCTTACAATAAGCACCAAAATTTGATACTTAATTCTAAACGCATAAACCAGTAAATCTTTCAACACAATTTTATATTTAGTTATTTGCGCAATCAGTTGTTATTTATATACAAGCAGTTCCATCTCTATTGGCAGTACAAGATGTATCGTATTCTTAACAAGCATTTTTTGTCAAACCAGATTCAGCCGTTATTAAGAAACATGTAGAATTGGCAATATCTTTACATGATCCAGGACCAGTTGAATCCCAAAAGCACTTTTTACCTGATGCTTTCACTTTACAAGAAGCCTAAGCATTTCCATCTATATAATGTGCGCAAGCAATTTTTAATTAATAACAAGCAGCTCCAGCTACTACAGCAGTTTCACCCTAACCAGCTGCAACAGTTGCTTTACATGTAGAATCATAAGATTGACAAATATCATCAGTTAAAACATCACCATCCCCTTTTATAAAGTCACTACATAATTTTGCTGTGCAAGTTTTATCTCCTTCACCTTTTTTACAGAAATCTCTAAATGCTACACATTTATCATCAGTTGCATCGGCTACAGTGAGTGAACTACAAGAAGCTGTGGCCAAAAAACATTTAGCATTTGCGAATTTACAAGTTCCTTCTTTAGCTACTGTACATGTTGCATCAGATGTATAAATGCTGCAGCTATCTTATCTCGTTTAACAAGGTAGGCCATCACTTTTTGTGCTTGTACAAATACTATCCTAATTAGAACATTCTACATCATCAGCAGCTCCTTCAGCAGTAGCTGAGTAATCAGCACAAGTTCTAATTATACAGCCTGTAGTATCGCCATTTGCTCTACATTATGAAAATTTCCAAGCACAATTTTCATTACTGTATGCATCTAACTTAATAAGAGTGCAATCAAATAAACTTTTTTATGAACAGATAGTACCATCCCATACACAATCTGCTCCAGTTGAAGTTATGACACAATTACTTGAAATAGCATAATCTGAACATTTTCTAAATTTACTTGTACATTAAGTACCAACTACTTAAACAACAGTGCATGTATCTAATCTAGTATTACATTCTGAATGTGAATCATAAGAACTTGTTCTATCAATATCAGCACAAGTTAAATCTCTACAAGTTCCTTAAAAGAAACATTTCTTACCATCAATTGTGATAAAACATTACTTTTCTTTATCTTAATAATCAGCGCAATTAGCTTTCAATGGAATACATCCAGTTGCATCAGAATTTACAGTACATTATTTATCAATTTTAGTTGCAGTATAGCACTTCTCATGAGTATCATATGAAGATGGTAAATTAATGCAATTTTTATCTTTACAACTATCATTCCATATACAATGTCCATTAATTTTAGCATCATCTTCACAATTATTTGGATTAATAATAGAATTGCATACAGGTGGTTTATTAATACATTAAGTATTATCATTATTTGCAATACAAGTAGGCATATATGATTTACAATTATTAGTAGTGACTTGACTTGTTGAACCATCAAGATGAGCAGTTGTACATGCTTTATCTAAACAAAATCCGGTACCACCATCTTGAGGAACCCAAACACAATCAGGTCCTATATTTCCATATTTTATTGGACAATTGTCTAATGTCTTTCTATCTTTACAACTAGATGGAAGCGGAATGCATCCTAAAATTTCATCAGATGCATTAGGATTATTTGATACACAATTTTTAGCATTAGAATTTAACTCTCTTCCTTCTTAATTACAATCTCTAGTTGTTGTGAAAGTTTTACTTAATGTTGTACAACTTTAATCTATACATTTAGCTCCATCCCAACCACATTTTACATAAACAACTTTACCATTTGCTTTGATTGTTTTTTTATATTAACAAGCTCTTTCATTAAAAATATCTTCACATCTTAAAGTAATCGAAGCGCATCCTCCTACTGGAGTTTTTTCTAATGAGAATGTACAAGAATTCAAATATTCATTACAATCTACATGTGAATTATATAAAGTTGAAGCCAAATAACATTCTTTCTAAAAACATTTACCTCCTTTCCATGTACAATTATCATCTTTAAATGAATTTTCACATTTCCAATCTTCACAACCATTACCTCCTGTTTTTACAGTACAAGTTGGTATTTTAGTATTACACGCACTATGATCAGAATAAGTAGATCCAGTTAAATTAGCACAAATCTATTCTTTACAAGCTGATCCATCCCAAAAGCATGTGACTCCTGATTTATTTTTTTTAGTATCACAATTAGCTTATAAAATTGTTTAACAATCACCTAAAGATTAACATCCTCCATCTTTTTTTGGAACACAATTATTATTTGGTAAATAAGCTTCACAATCAGTAGTATCTGTTGGGGCCTTATTACAAGATTTAGCTGTACAACCTGCTTTACTTGATGCTAAAGTACATCCTATTATTTTATCAGAACATTCTTTAGCTGTTTTATATGTCTTTGGTAAGTTATCACATGTCAATTCTTTACATAAATTTGGTGTTACTGTGTCATCCCAAAAACATGTTCTACTAGATCCATCGAATTTACAAGCGCTCTAAATTGTTGCAGAATTACAATTAATATTACTTACACATCCACCACCACTTTTTGTTATACATTTATATGATGTAAATATTTTTACAAAATCTTAACATTATTCATTTGTTGTTAAACTTGCTGGACCAGCTTCACAATTCAATAAAATACAGAATTTCTTTTTATCCCATATACACTTAGCTCCAGCAGAATTATATTCACATGCACTCTTTATTTGGTTATCTTCACAATTTTTTATAACTTAACATCCACCTCCTTTTTTGGCTGTACAATTTAAATTTGCTAATTTGTTTTCTTTTCCAAAATCATTACATTATGTATATGTTGATAAAGATTTAGGTGCTTCATCACAAGTGTAATCTCTACATTGATATTCATCTGTTGCCCATTCATCATTCCAAAAACACGTTCTAACCATATTGAAATCATAAACGCATTAATCTTTTGATAGCTATTCGTAGCATGTAGACGCACTTGTGACACATCCATAACCTTTACTATGAACTGTACATGTTTTAATTGCTTCTCTGCATTCTTTGTCAGATGTATAAGTTGTTGGCAAGTACTCACATTTATCAGCATTCAAGCAATTTGATCCATCCCAAAAACATTAAAATCTATCTGGTGGGGATTATAAACATGATAATTCTGTGATGTAAGTATTACAGAAATCAATCGCCACACATTGAATACCATCGGTTATGCAATCTCTTGAAATAGCTTAGCAAGATTCAAAAGTATCTAATTTGAATGCAGTACATCCTGTGAAATGAGTGCAAGCCTTTTCCACCCATGAGCATCCTCTTTTCTTGGCACAATCGCCCTCCATAAATTAAAGGCAATAAAGAGATTTTGCACTTGTATCACCTCCATCTGTTGGTGATTTATAATCAACACATTCAGCTCCTTACCAAATACATTTACTCAAGGCAAAACCTTTACAATTAATTTCCGTCTTTACATCCCCACATGAACATTTTTTAACGTTGTATAATTATCCCCTTGCTACTAGAAGAAGTAATCCTATTATTATTAAATATTTCATTTAAGTTTTATTATATTTTGCGCTCTAATTATATCAATAACAAATCCAAATTAATTTTTTTTTTTTAAATACTTTTAATTTATTCAACTATCAAGATTAATACTTTAACTTAAGTATAATTATTTATAATATAATCAAAAATGAAAGAAGAATAAAATAAAACTCTTAATACATGTTTTACTTATTTAAAATAGTCATTCAGCATAACCAGTCAATAAAATAATCTAACAGCAACACACAATAAAAACTAACGCTTAAAGGAATATTTTTAAAATAAATGGATAAAAACCAATAATTTTCCTCATGTATAATAAATTTACACATTTTAATGTCTTAGTTTCCATGACAAAATAAAACTCTCGATAATTTTCTAAATCATTCAATTTTTAGAATTACAAAATTTAATATAATTAATCAAAGAGTATAAATGTTTAATATTTATCTATATAAAAAATTGAACTAACTTTAATTTATTATCCTTTAACATGTAATTGAAAATACAATGATAAGAAAAATAAAATCAAATTACTTTAGCTCAATAAAAATGATTTTATCTTTAAAAGCAGAAAATATAATTATATTAGAAATGATAGGATGCATATTGTTGTATGGAGACAAACATACTTCAATTATTATGATTAAACAAAAGCCAATTATAAGCAGTGCTAAAAATTATTAAATTTATTTATCTTCAATCACTTCTAAAATATCCAAGATAAAATGCACAAAAGAGTTTCATTGTATATATTAATAATGGATATTAAATAGCCTTAACTTAGACCGACTACCTTCACCTAATGAAAATCGAAAAAATCTATATGGATGGTCTTGTTTAAAAGGAAATCAAAGGTAACTTGTGAAAAAAGTTCCTAAGCCAAATTAAAAAGATTTTTAGAATGAGGCAGTATCGCAAGATTCAAGGTCAATTAGATCTATGCTTAACTTAAAGAGTATATATATAAAACATTCTAGCTAAAGAATAACCCCAAAAATGTCTTTGAGGTTACTCAAAGTTTTAAGTAACAATTTTTAATTCTTGCTTATTTAACATTAAACAACTCAGAAATTAACAAAGAAGTGGGGTAATTGAAAAGATCACATAAAATTAAACTCAAAAATATACTCATAATTAATTATTTGATAATTTTAATAATTATAAAATTATGCCAAATTTTTAAAAATTTCTCTTTAAATTGCTTAAATACTTAAAGTATAAATCTAAATTATAACCTATGACTAAAAATAATTACAAAAATGTAATCGTACTATTTTCTGAACATAATTAATACAATGAGTCAATGTGTGAAGTTCAATTGATGATTTATATAACTGTTATAAAGTTAGATTACTCTTGATTTTACAATTTGCAAACTTTATGCTTCTTCTACTGAACATTTAGTTATATATCACAAACAGATATGAAACAAATGATGCAATTATCTGATGTTAATAATAAAGGAATAATTTTTTTATCAATATCAATAATGATTGGTAGAACAAATTACCAAAAATTCAAATAATACTCAACCATTCTTTTTGGAATAAATCTTAAGTGGAATAGCAAATTGATATTTTCTATGTTTGTTTCTGAATGATATATTTTATCAAATGCTTAATTATATTGATTCTTTTGTTACCCTAGACAATCTTTTTTTTCATTTATGATTCTGGCTATGTTATTCTTAATATTTTAATTTTTTCAGTTATTCAAGAGTCCTTTCAAATAATTTAATATATCTATATCCATTAATAGAAGTGTTTAGCTACTTTAACTAAAACTCAGATTAAAGCTTTGCTCCAAATCACCTCTTAGGATTTCAATTGCATTCTCACTTGAAACTATTTGTATTGATTCATATAATTTATTTATAAACCATTTCTTTTTCAGCAGGTTTTCTGACTAAAACACCCAAAGACCTTTTAATAAATCGTGACTTTCTGTCGTTTCTCTTGCAATTAGAATTTAGTTCTTTTTATCAACAGTTCAAATGATATCATAACTTTCTCAAATATTAAGCAACAGTTAATTGTTGCTGATAAAAATCAGCAAAACCTCCTTGAATTAATACTTATGAATGATTTTTGTAGGTTTAATGCTAATAATATTGAATAAATTTGTAGGTCTATTTTCATTTATTTTAAGGAAAGAAGAGTATTTAATCAGAATTTTTATAATTTTTTTTCTTGGGGGATGTCCACAAATAAAATACATTAATTTATTTAACCCATTCCCATAATCCCTAATTTGAATTATAGTAACCGCTTACAATACTCAAAGGAATTAAAAAAAGTAACCTCATAAAGAACACTACAAAAAGATGTAAGCTTCACCAAGCATTATATTAATCTTGAATAATAGCCCAGTTCACAGAGCTTGTTAGTTATAAAATTACTCAATGAAATATATAGCATAAATTTCTTCTGACAAACTTAACTTAGCTCAATCCTATTGAAAATAGCTTGCTGAAGAATTATTTAAATTAATTAGGACATTTGTTGTGGAATACATTTTCAAATTCAATAATATATGAATTCATTTGAATCAAAATTATTAGATAGGTATAATTTTATTCTATCATGTCATTTAAGTAAGGTATTCTATATTAATATTATACCTTGTTTTTTAATAAAAATTAATATTTTTTTCAAACATTTTTTTAATTAAAATAATTTAAATA